TCTAAGGGTGTAATGAAGTGAAAGTAATTACCCGAAGCTGTTCTGAGAACATTTCAGGAAAGTACCAAAGTAAAATGTGACCCTGCCGGTCGGTTATATGGCACGGTTGATCGAGGTAGGGGATATCGGACCCAGCTGTTTCGTACATCAGTGGGAATCGTGCCAAGAGTTTCTTCTCCAACTCCTCATTGCTTCCACTCTGTCTCGGTGACAAGTCCGCAGCATAGTCCCGGACGTCCCAAGTAGTCGTATCTGTCCAAAACTTAGTGAAGATCGGCCAGCTAGAAGTGAGACATACATGAAGATTTGAATGCTTCTTCAAGCATGTTAATTACCCTTTCAACAGATGCTTGGGCCTCCAGCTCCAACCATGGTGGTGGAGCAGGACGAGGAACGCTTGGGCTATGTAAAGACCGCAACCGGCCTCTGAAGTATCGAGCTAGATCCCTTGTATATTGAAAGAAATCGGGGGCAGTCATGAACAAAAAAAAAGATTTTTGACACTTTTAACTGGCAAAACATGAGGCTCGGGCATGGATTTATTTATTACGTAGAACAGGGACGTCTGTCAACATGTCAGGGTCATAACTGCCATTAGGATAGGATCGTGGTCTTTCCTGTCTGGTTGCACCCGGCCTTTCAGATCAGTTCTGCTCATCCAGGCTTTCAAACAAGACTCGACATGAATTTTTTTTTTAAGTAAAAAGATACAGGTGGTAATGGTATGACATATTAAGAGACCCGTGTTACGCCACATGCCCTTTCATAATAGGTGAAATGGGGGTTTGGATAGAGTAAAAAGGACGTACGGTAAGGTAACCCTCTCACCGTCGTCATCGATGATGGTCAAGAGTATCGTCCCCTAATCACCATGTTAGTGGTAAAAAGGAAGTACAAAGGGGATTGCTCACGTCTGGCAACCTGCCGGTGGAGTCTATGGTTGCAAACATGAGGCCACCGCTACTCATATTATACCAGACTCGGGTTCCTTTCTGACGAATCATCAGCTGGTTACGACCAATGGAGATGTACAGAACCTACAGGGTAGGGGTTGGGTGGAGGGATACCCAACAGACTCCAGATTGTCATGGGGGTGAAGTTATTCATGTCGCAGATGAGGGGGGTGAAGATGGGTCCTTGAAATGCGAGAGGGTTTTTAAAGGGGGAAACACGGATGTTTTCAGGTTAAATTACAACCCTCGATGCAACCCTATATCAGAAGCATAAATGATAGCGGCACAGGCCTCGAGGCCAAATTGCAAAAGAGTTGAAAGAGTCATAAACATAAGCATGGCCGGGGATTGACCCGGAAGCTGGGGATTGAA